TGTGAGGGAAACCAGTTCAACCCAAGCGCTCTTTGATAACGTGAGGATTACGTCCCTGCAGATCATCTGTCCATCATCGTATAAAGCCCGCCCTGGCAATTTGATTGGCCCGACGATTTCTGAACCGATCATAATTACTCCTCAATGGAGCAAGTCCAGACCGAACTTCCCGATCAAAAAATGTTGTGGGCGGGGTTCGGGCTGGCACCCAGGCTATGAACTATCCCTTTAAAGGACAACTCCGGCGCAAAATGAACCTCGGGTGTAATAACACATTGGTACAGACTAAATCGTTCCCTGAGATTTGTTTTCATGATAATCGAATATAAAGAGTTTTATCTCTAAAAACAGTTTAGCTTATAACGCTAGTATATTGGGCATCGAGTAAGCAAAAAGAGATCGCTAGTTAATACCATTAACAAGGCTCAAATTAGCCCCACACTAACACGGCAGCATAATGAGTGTCCTTACATGCAAACCGAAGCATTGAGAACTTTGTAAGTGTATAGACAGTTTAATAAGAAGATACTTTACACAGACAGTACAGTTAGCGCATACAGACAGGAGCCATCTTGGAAAAAAGTCTCGATCAATCGAACCACGAAGGTGAGCGAACAGTACGTGTAGATATTGAAGATAAGATAAATTATATTTATTTTTTTATTTTCTCTGTTGCGTTCAGTGCTTCTCTTATGCGCTCAGTGCTTTCTTCCGGAAACAACGGACCATATGAGATTCCAAGTCACAGTTCAGCTCACGTATCACCGTGTTCGTGGTTTGACTGATCGAGACTGTTTTCCAAGATGGGTCCTGTCTGTATGCGCTAGCTGTACTGTCTGTGTAAAGTATCTTCTTATTAAACTGTCTATACACTTACAAAGTTCTCAATGCTTCGATTTGCATGTAAGGACACTCATTATGCTGCCGTGTTAGTGTGGGGCTAATTTGAGCCTTGTTAGTGGTATTAACTAGCGATCTCTTTTTGCTTACTCGATGCCCAATATACTAGCGTTATAAGCTAAACTGTTTTTAGAGATAAAACTCTTTACATTCGATTATCATGAAAACAAATCTCAGGGAACGATTTAGTCTGTACCAATGTGTTATTACACCCGAGGTTCATTTTGCACCGGAGTTGTCCTTTAACAGTACTGAATCAACCTAAATTAGGTTACACCAATACAATTAAATTTAAGGGTAAGATCAGGTATAAATAGCTACTTAATTACAGGTTCCCACCTTTTACAGTGTAAATATGAGCATCACATGGTTTTAAAAGAATATTCTTGGATATTTTTTGTCCCTTAATGTCTATGGGCAGCACTACTGGTAATCTGTCCATTACCACAGACAATAATTTTGACTTGTTGCTCAAAAAAAAAAAAAAATTGTACCAGAGGTTTAAAAGCAGAAGCTCATTTTTAAAAAAAACATAATAAATTATTAAATATATATAAATATTATTATTCTGTTACAATATTTGTTGCTGTAAATCTTTTGAGTTGAGGCTTTAAGGGTGGATGAACTTCATGTCTATATTTTCTCAAAAAGTTAGAAGTACAACCAAATAAAGAGCAAAGTAAATGCATTAGGTGGGTAATTGATCTATTCTTCATCAATAGGATACAAAATATGAACAAACTAATTTGTCAAAATCAAAATCTGTATCATTTAAAAACAAGATTGTTTTCTGAGGAAAATGTTTTATATAATGGTATAACACTTTCAGAAATATTATTCAGAAATGACCTATAATTACTGCTTGATTATTTACACAATGAGAAGACAACATCGCAGAATTCGTCAAATCCATTGCTTATTATTATTACTAATATGGACTGTTGTTTTTCCTCCAAAAAATATGTAAATTGTTGGAGGATGATGACTTTAAGGAACTGCCTTGAGTTAGTTAAAAGGATATTACAAAGACAAACAGAATGGAAAGAATCATTGAGAACGCAGTTAAACCCTATAAACTGTATAAATTAAAATTATATCGTTTGAAATATTTAGAGAAAGAAAAAAAGGAGAGAAAAAATACACCTGGAATATTATTTTAAGAATTGTCACTTATTATTATTGTTGTTGATATTATAGAAGTGCAACGGACCCAAAAAATGTCAAACACTATTTTATTGTTATGGAAAAATGTCCAACTTTGAAATAAATAAATAATACAATAATACATACATTAATCCACTGTTTCACAGTAACTTTGCAAGGACAAGATTGGTAAGTGATTCTATCATGTTAAGTTCAATGCATAAAGTTGAAGATATTCTTTTAAAATGTGGGCCAAAAAAAATGGCCTTTGTGAATGAGTGTGTGTGTGTGTGTGTGTGTTGGGAGGGGCAATGTTAAGCATTAGAATCTTAACCAATGTATAATTGCTCGTTCTCCCCTCAGTAGGAGGCACGTGTAAATGAAAGTCCCCTGGGAGCTCCTGATCCACTTTCTGATCTCGCAGATCCAGCGCTGATCAAAACCAACGCTGCGGCCGACGTGCTTCAAACAGCCGGGACCCCAGCCAGCGGGGGACCACACACCCCTCACCGACAGCTATTCTGAATCTCCAAACTGATACCAAAAAAAAAAAAAAGTTTTCGTTCTGGACTAGTTAAGGCAACCGCATGAATATATGATGATTTTTTTTAATCCCACATAGCAATATCAGTGCAGCAAGGATGACCTCCACCCACGTCCAGCATGTTACGAAACACCTCCGATGTTATCCATCATAGCACGACCCTGGAGAATTCACGCAGACAACAGTTATTATCACCTTCAACCCATTACCATCATTATCATAGCAGACAGTCCAGCGGCCTACAGGAAGAGCAGGAGTTCAGCATTGATGTCCTCTGCAGGCCTGAGGATAGGTGTATTTGCTGTGTAAGAGTATAGTTGAGCATGTACCGCTCTCAGCTACTCATCTGCTCTATTTTTATTAAAAAGCTGATATAGCCATTAGCCAGACTCTTTGAAATTCTACATTGTTTATAAATCAGTGATCAAGCAAATACAATTTCACAGATTTGGTAACAAACCAATGAGGTTTGGGGCTTGAATGTTTGAGATTCCACAAGAACCATGAGGTTTGTTCTTGTGCGTCAGTTATGCATGAGCTTCTGTTTACCACGCGTATTTGGCGTGCTGTCCGGGGGGAGGGCTCCGAGCTCGGAAATTGGGCCCGAACCCAGAGTACTCCCCCCGTATCTCTGTTTAGGAAGATAACTAGGCAAGTGTGAGGAGATGGGGTGGTGGAGGGATGCTGAAAACTGTCGAGGAATATGGGTGAGTCGACTGAGTATATTTATAGGCTTTACTCGTGCTGATTGAGTGGACCTGTTGATTACTGATTGCTGACAGCTGGCTGGAATGACTTGATTGTTTGATCATTAGAACGTGTTCCTCCCGAACCTTGTTAATAAAACATCAATTCACGAGTTCACACTTACAAATGATCAGAGAATAGATGGTTATGCGTATTTGGCGTGCTGTCCGGGGGGAGGGCTCCGAGCTCGGAAATTGGGCCCGAACCCAGAGTACTCCCCATAAAGCAAAGTAAATAAAGGACAGCCGCCTGCTTAAAGACCCCCCGAAAAGAGCGCAGAGATTGGCGGGCTGGCATTTCAAGGAGAGCCTGGTTGTTTGGCTGGGAGAGCTCTCGCGGCGTCCGACGGGAGTTCAATGCTTACGGTGTCGGACGGGTAAGTATGGATGTTCGAACGGGAGGGTTCTTGTGGCAATGGTCACGGCATCGGAAAGGGTAAGCCTCACCAGTCAGGAAAGAGAAAAACGTAGATGCTTGACTGGGAGGGTTTGGCTACGTCCTCTGGGAGATCAATACTCGCTAGACGGAGGAGGAGGAGATGAAGATGCTTGACCTGGGGAACTCTCACTGTGTCCGCTGGGAGATCAATACTCGCTGGACGGAGAAAGAGAAGATATAAATACTCGACCGGGAAGGCTGTCTCTGGGTCCGCTGGGAGATCAATACTCGCTGGACAGAAAAAGAGAAGAAATAAATACTCGACCGGGAAGGCTCTCGCTGTGTCCGCTGGGAGATCAATACTCGCTGGACGGAGAAAGAGAAGACATGGATGCTCGACCGGGAAGGCTCTCGCTGTGTCCGCTGGGAGATCAATACTCGCTGGACGGAGAAAAGAGAAGACATGGACGCTTGACCTGGAAGGCTCTCGCTGTGTCCGCTGGGAGATCAATACTCGCTGGACGGAGAAAGAGAAGACATGGATGCTCGACCGGGAAGGCTCTCGCTGTGTCCGCTGGGAGATCAATACTCGCTGGACGGAGAAAAGAGAAGACATGGACGCTTGACCTGGAAGGCTCTCGCTGTGTCCGCTGGGAGATCAATACTCGCTGGATGGAGAAAGAAAAGACATGGATACTCGGAATTTTTTTTTTTTTTTTTTTTTTTTTTACCGATGAGGATTTGGTGGGCTTTTTTGATATGGAAACGATTAGTTCTGATGTAGGTTTGGAACGCGTCTGAGGACCATCTTCCAAGCGCTTGGATCTGCTGTTGGGAGAGGCCTTTTTGGGCTGCTGAGGTTGCTGCCCCGATGCGGAAGGAATGGCTGGAGAAATTCTCTGCTGGGATGCCTGATAGTTGGAGAACAGATTTTAGGTGTTTTTGGAACCAAAAGCGTGTCACGGGTTTGTTAGAGTCGTCTATGAACAGGGGTTCGAGATGGGATTTAGCATGAGAGTTTCTCAGTTGGAGGTATGCTAGTATAGTTTGGAAAGGTTGAATTGGTGACGAGAGGTTGAAAATATATATGAAGTGGCCTTTTTTGGTTTGGTCTGTTTTGCTTTGTTTGATCAGAAAAGAGATAGTTTCGCTGTCAAGCACTGAAAGATCTGAGATGTTTGGGTGGATTTTTGGGTCGAATCTGGAAGTGATAGCCAGTTCAGAGCATCTTAGGAAACCAAAAAAAAACTAGAATAAACATGGCGTCGAGTATGCGAGAGGTATTAAGGGATCGGTAGCCTGAGCGGAGGGTATGAATGCATTTAGTAAGAATATCTAACGTTATGGGTTGTCTGGTGTCCGGGCGGGTGGGCTGGGATCGTTGGATGCCTTTAATTAAGAGGGAGGTTTGTGAATTATTTATCTCCGGTGAGGGGGCGCCGTGAATCAATTTGTGAAAAAATTGGATGCCGCTTAAGTAACTTTTGATGGACCCGACTTGGAGGCTCTTAACGCTGTTAAGGTAAGAGATGAAGGAGGTAATTGTAAGGAGGGAAAAATCAGGGAATGGCGTGTTGTAAGAAAGGTGGAAGGCTTTAAAACATCTCCATGCGGTCACATAGGATTGGAGAGTTCTGGGGGAAACTGCTTGGAGAATGGTGTCGAGCGATATGTTGAGGAGGGATTTTTGCGGGTGGGTTATGGGAATATTAATTCCGAATAATGAGGTACTGGAGTTGGTAGCTTGTCTGCCTCTGGAGCCAGCATCCTGAATTTCTGAAACATAAAGCGAGACAGAGAGTCAGCAATTTGGTTTTTTGACCCGGGGATGTGTTTAGCAATTAAGATAAATTGATCACATGCTGAAATCCAGATTAGACGTCTTAGAAGTGGCATCAGTGCGGGTGAATGGGAACGGCCTTTATTAATGCACTGGACTGTAGCTTCATTGTCACAATGCACTACGATACTGCTAGCAGTCCATTCTTTCCCCCACAGGAAGGCTGCTACTACGAGAGGGTAGAGCTCGAATAATGCGGAGGACTGTAGCGTGTCCTGTATTTGGGGGGGCCACGTAGACGCGAACCAGCGTCCTTGGCAGAACCCCCCAAAGCCGACTGAGGGGGCTGCATCTGTGAACAGCTGGATGTCGATGGGGGAGGAAATTAGATCCTTATAGAAAAATGATAGGCCGTTCCACTGTTTAAGAAAAGTTATCCATAGCCTGAGTTCGTCGTGGCATGCTGGAGTTAGGGAAATGAGATCCTCTAGTGCGTGAACTGAAGACGCGAGAGAGAGGAGATGAGAAATGAAAGGGCGGCCTTGTGGAATAATGCGCATGGCGAAGTTTAAGTGGCCGAGCATGGATAGGAGTTCGCGTTTGGAACACTTTGAACTGTCTACGAGGGTAGATGAGATGAGGATTATTCTATCGATTTTTTCCTTGGGCAGGGAGGCCTGGTATTTAACTGAATCTAGCTTAATGCCAAGGAACTCGATGGATGTGGCGGGACCCATGGTTTTTTCCTGGGCGATGGGAATTCCGAGCTCGGCAAATACTCTTTGAACTGTGAGGATCTGGGCTGCTGGAATGGCGCCGGGAGGCGAAATTATTAGAAAATCGTCCAGCAGGTGAATGAGGTGAGGAATCGCGTAATTGTTTAACAAGATCCAGCAAATGGCTTCAGATAGCATGTCAAAAATTTTGGGGCTGCTTTTGCATCCAAAAGTTAAGCGTACGGCGAAATAGAATTTCCCATGCCAGCGCACTCCGAATAAGTGCCATGAATCCGGGTGGATGGGCATCACTTTAAAAGCCGAAGTGATGTCAATTTTTGCGAGCCAGGCACCCCGACCCACGATTTTTATGAGGTCGACTGCGTGATCTACGTCGTGATATTTGAGAGAAAATTCGTCGAGTGGGATCAGGCTGTTAATGCTTGGGAACAGGGATTTATGTGGAGCTGACAGATCGACTATGAGGCGTTTCTTACCTGAAAACTTTCTCGTAGCCACTCCAATGGGGCTAATGCGAAAAACTTTGAAAGGAGGCTCGGCAAAAGGGCCAATCATGAAGCCTGACTCGACTTCTTTTTTAATCAGGTTGTCTACCACGTTGGGCTCGGCGAGAGCCGATTGGAGATTATCGCAGATTATGTTTTGGGAGAGCGGACAAACCACTCCCGGTTTAAAACCGTGTTGTAGGCCAGACAGCAGATATTCAGTGAAGTCAGAGTCCGGGTGGTGAGCTAGTTCGATAGAAAGGCGAGAAATATTCACGGGAGTCGATAAATAATTTTTAGATTTTTTATTGACATCTTTAAAGACAGGGCATACAGGACGGGCATGAGCACCGCCACAAAAGCTGCATATGTGCAAGTACCGACAACGCTGCCTGGTGCACTTGCCGATATTAAAATTGTTGCAAGGCTGTTTGCTATCCGTAAGTGCTCTGGAGCGGAAATTAGCCTCGTGTGGATATGGGTTGCTAGTCGCCGGTCTTGGTGTGTAGCTGGTGGATTTGACTGGTCCCGTTTCCGGGCATGGAGGAACGGAGGGGTTAACTTGAGGGCACGATATTGTGGAATGTGCCACTGACCTGCAGACCGCGCAAGAAATATTCCTGCAGCCAAGGAAAACTCTGCTGTGCAGGTCAGTGTCTAGTGCTCCCCAGTATGGGCATTGGTTCCACTGTGAAACCCTAACAGCGCATTTTGCTGAGAAGAGTTTGTGATATGTGTAAAAGTGCCCTCCCCCGTAGGACAACGCGAGCTCGGCTATCAGCGCTAAATAGTCGTTCAGTTCGCGTCGCCTATGAGGGAAGGCTGAGCAAATGATTTCTGTGAAGTGGCTGAAAGCGATTGAAAACTCCGAAAAAGAAAGTAAACGTGATGAATGTGTATTCTGGTTTTTTAAAGTGACTTAAAAATCCCCGCAGTCTAACTGACGGTTAGAATCGGATACGGGAAGCAGAGAAAGTAAATGTGAAAGGTCTACATCCGCACCTGCCAGAATCTGTGCTCGGATGTTTTGAGTCACTGGGGGAGGCTCCAGAGCGACAGCGTTTGGTGGGACTGGCATCGGGGTAGCTGTGAAAAGAGAATATTGTGATTTGGCATTTAAGAGAGAGCTGTAAGGGAGAGAAGCCTGGGCTGCGACTATCGGCGGAGGCAGCCTCACGCTTAAGTCGGCCTGTGGGGCTTGAGAAGGAAAATTGAGAAAAGCATAAGGGGGAAAAGGAGGAAATAAATGAGATGCCTGAGCCTGTGTTGCAGGCGGAGGCGGTCTCGCACTTGCTTGAGCTGCAGGCCACTGAAAATGGGAGGGGTTAGCAGTAGTCGCGGGAAGGTGGTGGAAAGTTTGAGCCTGCACCGCTAGCGGAGGCAGCCTCACGCTAGCGTCTGCTATGGGAGCCGGAGGCCACTGCAGAGGAAAAGAGTTAGAAACAGCAGGAGGAAAACACTGGGAGGCAGAGGGTGACCCGGCGGGCCCAGCTGTGTATGGCACTGCGGCGGGAAGCGCCGTGCTGAAAAGCTCAGCTGAAGCGGGAGGCGAGTGAGGTCTCGTGGCGGTGGAATCTGGAGCGCGACCCAGGCTCGCAGAAATCCTGGCGCCGCGGGCTGAAGCGTGCGGCAAACCGAATCTTGCACGGGAAGGTGGCGGAGTCGGGCGAGGCGAATTCGGGGCCTCACGAGATTTTCCCGGCCTGCTGGCCGCCTTGGAACCTGGGGTGGATTTAGGAGAGAGATTTGATGATTGCAAGGTAACGTATAAGTTGTATAGTTGCGCTTTAGTCATCCTGCGCGAGGGCTGAATATCAGAGTTTATCAGCGCTTGTCTCAGACTCAAGACTGTCCACTTCCCAATAGGCGGAATCGTTGGTACGGCCGAACGATAGGAGGATGCCGGGGAGGAAGCTGGAGTCCTCGCCGGTGGAGGTGAGGGTAAACCTCGGCGTCTTGGCGTGCGAGGGGTTGCTTGCGCAGACCGGCGCCCGCGAGATGAAACGTGGGGCTTGGAGGCGGTATCCGGTGGAGAGGTTGTCCTGGGGCCAGCTGATGGCGGCGGAGGAACCGGAGCATGGTTAAGCTCGTCATCGGATGAAAACTGCATTTGGGACATCTTAGCAAAGCGGTAAACCAAATGCTGAAAACTGTCGAGGAATATGGGTGAGTCGACTGAGTATATTTATAGGCTTTACTCGTGCTGATTGAGTGGACCTGTTGATTACTGATTGCTGACAGCTGGCTGGAATGACTTGATTGTTTGATCATTAGAACGTGTTCCTCCCGAACCTTGTTAATAAAACATCAATTGTATGTGCTCTAATTTATGTAAGTGCGTTGATGGATGTTTATACATGAATAAAAGCCTAAATTAAATCAGTTCATCATATATTGTGTTTGTGTCTCCTCAGAAGATTTGTATTAAACTGCTCAATTCACATTGATTACGTTGATGTCTTAATGAACTTTTTGAAGATTGACTATTTTGTTTTTGTGGCCTTTCTATTCATCAATCATCAAAAATTATGACAGAAAATTAAAATGATCTCCATTTATGTTCTAAAAATGAAGGGTTTGACACTATATGAGGGTGAGTAAATGATGACAGAATTGTCATTTTTGGATGAACTATCCTTTCAAACCACGGGTCAACTCTCGTCTTCGAGAATGCAAAACTTCTTTGGACAATGGAATGATCGGGATTTTTAATAAATAATAATCACAAATGACAATTCATTCAAAATGTGGAAGTATAAATCTACTCTCCTGTCCGGCAAGGTCTTTGGTTTCAGCCAAGAGGCTAATCTGTGATGTTTAGATCTTGTTTTGGTTACATGACATCTCATATATGATTTCACAACTTTCATACATAGCAGAATGCAAAATGTTGAGTATGAGCTTGCGTTTCCAGTCTCCCGCATTCACATATGTATGAACTGGAGCCCAAAGTTGCGTCATTTGTCATTTGTAATGTCAAATCACCAACTCCCAAAGGAAAAGAATGATTTTCGGTCGCTTTGTACTCATTGTACTCCACGCTACCTACATTACTCATTTACATAAAGTTAAACTGCTGGACTTTGTTGCTAGTTGCTCCAAATCACCAACTCTCATTAAAAATTAATGACTTCTGGTTGCTTTGCCACTACAAAACACTGCCGGTCTGAACGCCGCTTCAGAATTAAAACAACCGTCAAATATATTTCTAGGCTTATGTGCCATGCCATATTAAACACTATTTCAACAAGTCCATATAACTTCATGGTCTGTACATCATGAACATAAAGTCATTGAAAATACATATCAGCCTATTCCTCACAGAATTTACAAAGTATCTGCAGTTATCAGTGAGTATGAGGATGGAGTTGAATGCAAATCAGAGGTGGTATATGAAATGACAATGAATATATGATCATGAATAATGCAGCCCTTTCTACAACACAATGCTGAGAAAAAGCCCCGAGAGCTGAGAAAGAATTCCAGAATAGAATGCATTATAGAATAAGAATTGAAATAGAAAAGGGTTGGGGGGGCTTGGCTGTCACAGCGCTGTCACTTCCTCTGTCAGAATAAATCCATCAAAGACTGGGAATAAATCAGGCTGTTCTCATTTGCATTGAGCATGGTGAGAAACCCAGGTTCAATAACACATGCTGCTTTGACAAATCCTGCTCTCAGGGATGAAAAGGACCCGTGAATCCGGAAGCTTCTATTGTCTGACGTTAATGGGTGCTCTTGATACGTGGAGAATGCGAGGCACTGTAATAGTGCCTCGCATGTAAGATTGGGCACATTGCTAATTTTTGGTTTCATGCAAATATTCAGACATTAAATTGACCTGATATTTGGAATGGTATACAGAATCATCCATCCAGTCTCCAAGCCGCTTGTCCAATGTAGGGTCCTGGTTTTAAAGGATAAGTTTACTTAACATGAAAAAATCCATCGCTGTTTACTCACCCTCATCTTGTTCCAAAATTGTTAGCTGTGATTTTTTTCCCTTGGAACACAAAAAGAGAATTTTTGAAGAATCTTCACACAGTTATTTTCCATACAATAGCTCATAATCACTTTAGTCTTTTAAACTCCTTTTTTTTTTTTTTTAAACCATAAAAATTCATAAATCACCATAAGAGTAGCTTATTCTGATCTTGTATAATATTCTGACTAATATTCAGAGGCCTTTATGTGAGAAAAAAAGAGAAAGTTTGTCATCCCCTTCTGCAGAAATTCTCAAATTTAAAAACTAGTTTTGAATCTAAAAAATGTACACACATTCAGAGCTTCAGTAGAGGGGAATATCATTTGAAAGAAAATGTAAATTACAGTTGTTTTCTACACAAAGTTATGGCATGATTTTGGGACACCCGTGCACAAGTCATCTGGACTGCTTCTAAAGCTTTTTGATAGTGGTTTTATAGTCCTTTTTGAAGCTTGACAGACATAAATTACGGTGGCCGAGAGAGCTCAACGCGCGGCAACTGGAGAAAACACATGCAAATAGAAAAACACGCGCAAATTAAGAAACCGTCTTCATCAGTTTCACAACACATGTGTGCTCCAAATACTCACAACCAAATACAGAAACGCGCTGCAAATAGCACAGACCACAACGGAGATGTTTCCAGGGGACCCCAATAAACGACGAACCCGGCTGGGACATGCTTATTGCTCGTGAGCACCCTATGTCCTACTCCATTCAAAGGGCAGACGGCAGAGCCCTTGAAGTGGGGACTTTGGAGTGAGCAGGGCACTTGTGTGCCATTATGTAGCCGTTTGGCATATACACTTGATGAAGGGAGCAACAAAAGACAACGTAATTTCCTCATTATTTTCACCTGGGATGTTCCCATGACAACGCAGCACGGTGTCCATCAGCTGAATAGCTGTTATTACCAGTAATATCTTATTATTCTATACTTAGATTAAATACTTAACTGTTGCAAATAAATATACATTTTATACAAAAAAGCTTTTAAAATATGTTTTATATATGTGTGTGAGTGTTTCAACTTTAAAACTTGCCGTCTCATTTGGACCCTGCATTACCTAACATAGGAAACTTATTTAAACATAACATGACACAAATTGTACAATGTAACTGATGTACAGATTCATATCTTTCCCTCGTGTTCTTTTTCTGTCTTTTTTATTTATTTATTTTAGTTTTCAGCTCATTGTTCTTTTCTCATTAGTATTCTGATGACATTGAACATATTGTTAATACATTTTGTATATTGTATACAAAGTTTTATGTCATAAACATGTCATCTCTGTATGTTTAGCAAAAAAATAAAATAATAAAATGAAATAATGAAATGAAATGAAATGAAATGAAATGAAATGAAGTAGACTTTATCCCAGCCAGGTTCTTCGCTTATTGGGGTCACCTGGAAACATTTCCGTTGTGGTCTGTGCTATTTGCTGCACGTTTCTGTATTTGGTTGTGTTGTGAACTTTTGTGTTGTGAGTATTTGAAGCACACATGTGTTGTGAAACTGTTTTCTTCATTTGCGGGTGTTTCTCTATTTGCATGTTTTCTTCAGTTGCAGCACGTTGAGCTCTCTCTGCCACCGTAATAAATACCTAGATGATGCACTTAATTATCCGAAAAACAAAGTGTGGAATGTTGGACATGTCATGCACTCAAATGTCACAGCTTTTCATACCAGAGAGGGAGGGGCTGATGTTAAATGACAAAATAACCTTACAACATTTATACACTAGATGGTAGAGTACATAGTGCATAGTATGAGTGATAGTGTAGTCAGCTTGATTTGGAGCTTTTGTGTCAAATACGTTTGAAACATGATCTAAATAAATGATGACAGAATTTTCATGGGTAAACTATTCCTTTAAAGTTAAATTAAAATAATATGTTTTTATGGTTATCATTTTCCCAATGGCAGAGGGGAGGAGTCAGAGAGAGCATGTGTTTCCATGTGCATGTGTTTCCTCTCTCTTTTCTCTCTTTTTCTCTCACGACTCAGCTGTCCGTTTCTCGCTCACGCACGGTCGCCTGTGGAGGCGAGGCAGAGCCAGAGATGAGCGGAGTCAATTAGACGAGCAGCAATGTGTGTGTGTGTGTGTGTGTGTGTGTGTGTGTGTGTGTGTGTGTGTGTGTGTGTGTGTGTGTGTGTGTGTGTGTGTGTGTGTGTGTGTGTGTGTGTGTGTGTGAATCTCAGAGAAAGATGTGGAACAGTATGGCACTGCAGATGCCGGCATTCCCTCAGTGAGAATGCTTCCATAGGGACAAGGACAGCTGTGGAATAGCATCAGGGGTGTTAACGAGCCTTATCACACACACACACACACACACACACACACACACACACACACACACACACACACACACACACACACACACACACACACACACACACACACACACACATGCATATTAATTAATGCACTTTTACATTATGGCATACACATTCTGTTCCAAAACCTAGTGAACTGCCTACATCATAAATGTGCTCACTGCTTCCAATATGAAGCCTGTTCCAAAAGGTAGGCTGCATAATTAGGCCTATGTCATTTTAGCCTTTGTGGAGAAGGCAATCCCGGAATGAATTACTAAATTTCATGGGGGCAGAGTTCTAAACAATGTAAATTCTAAATAAATGTATATTTTATTCTGTACTGAAAAGTATCAATACAAACAATTATGTGTAATTAAGTGTATTTTTCTCCACAATAATTGTGTTTTATGCATTTTTATGGTAATAACAGAATAGTGCTGTTAGCTTAGCAACATGCTAATGTCAAACTACTGAAATCAATGCGATTTGTGTGAGAAGCCATTTTTGTATGGAGTTTCTGCCTGTGTAAAGCGTTTCAAATCGGTCATGTCACCTTAAAAGGCAGCTGCCTATGTGGGCAGTAACGGCAGGAACGCAGCTACCGATTTAGCTGATTCTGAATATGAATTACATTTTGTGTTGTAACCGTATTAAATTCCCATGACACACATGGAAACGCAGAATGAGCAAAATTCTCACTGACCTCCACTGAAAAATTTGATTGCTTAGGGGTCACTCTTATAGTTCAGGAGACTTATTTGAATTATCTGTTATGTTTTCTTTAATATCTACTTTGCCTCAGATGTCTTTTTTC